TGAAAAATGAATAACTGTTGAACAGGATCTCCCGTGTTGACCGAGCGCAACGGAAAAAAGTAGCTAGCAAAAAGTAAGTGCGGAAGAGATGTTTAGGTCCTTGCATTTCCCTCGGAATCATTTCACCGTTGACCCTAGGATCGTCCTAGGATTCTCCTGCCTCGGCATAGCCGGCTTTGCAGTTTTTATCGGTGCATGCTTGCACGTCCCCCCCCCCCCCTTTCATGCTTCTTGTCGAGAAATTAGTGTAACCGATGATTAATCGGTCGATTCAACAAATCTAATGATTCGGAAGGTTCACCCGGTAGATATTCGGTGGACGGATGGAACAGACATTCCGTGTCCTATCTTCAAATCTAAAAGAACAAACGGCTTCCTGAGTTTTACGCCAACCGCAAGGGGCGGAATGAAATACGCAGCGACGTGCACTAACAATAAGTTGCTACCGCGCAACCGCGCATGGTGTTCTCCATCGTTGTATTCATGGGACGACTTTTCGGTATGGTGATCGCCAGCGTTACTGTACTCACGTACCACGAAAAAAAATATGCAGAGGAGTCTGTACATGCGCGTGAGCATTTAATAAATGAGTATCCAGTCTAAGAGACATTTCTTCTTACGAGAAAGTGTTATGCCGCGCGGCTCTCTAGCGGGAACTTGCTTGGACTATCTAAAAATTACTTCAAGTATCCAAAATTACTCTAAAATTTTGTAAGTAAACTTTTAACTTGTTTGAGTAAACTCTTGAAAGATTACTTTTAAAAACTTCAATTTCCAGTTAGTGTAACTTGAATTAAAGTAAATGTTTCCAAGGGAGAGTAGCTCGTTTTAATAATTGAACTTTTTACATTACTAATAAAGTATTAATGGGCGAATATCATTCTCTTGGTCACGGTAATGCCAGGGTTAATTCTTGCGAAAATAGTTATGCAGGTAGTCACAACAGTTTTCTTGAATGTTCATTCTTCAGTGTTTGCACAAGCACGTTGCTTTTTCGCGGAAAGAGAGAGTTGCGATACAATACGACGCGTCATTGTTCTTCTGCAATTGCATGGCAGAGTGTCGCTCGACTTTCTTTTTTTCCCGCTCGTAACGCCGAGATAAGAGTTTTGCACGCATGAGAAATGCAACACAGCCCAGATTAGTTTTGTCTTGTTGCTTCCACATATTCTCATAAAGTACGTCAAAATACACTACATATTTCACTGCGTATACTTGTGAGAAACCATAACTCTCGTCGCTATTTCATAGCGCGTTGATAATAAATAAATGTAGGAGAAACGATATGTACGTGTCTCGTTATACGCCGGTGAAGAAATTAAAACGGCGGATTTAAATTTAAACGCACGGACTTTCGCGGTACGTCCCAAGTAATAATCCGACACATTTGTCCGAGAAGCTTTCAGAATGGCAGGATGCGGGTTTAGAAACGGCCGCTTTATTTATGGATCATTCACACGTATGAGCGCGACACGCTCACTTTCTGGAGCTTAATGGACCGTGAGAGCGGACATCGCTATCTTCTTTCGGAGTGTCTTCGATTCTCAAGGGTGTACAGCTCCGGCGTTTCCCCGCTCGAGAGCTCCCTAAGAATGTACTTTTTCGACCAGAAAACCAAGGTCCTTGGAGAGAAAACCTAAACGGATACATTGGCACTGTAAACTGTGGAAACATCTGTTGTTTGTTGCGTCCTCAAAAAATTCGTACATATGGCAGTATAAATGAAGCAACCGTCGAATTAGCGATGTGTCTTTCGAAACTTTGCTCGACCAAGCCTCGTGCGTTTTCGTTTAGAAACTTCATCGCCTCTTCCGCAATTAGAGCAATTAACATTTTCAAATAATATAATTGTTGGCACAATCGATACGCTTGGCTGCCTTAAAGAAAAATTGAAGCGCTCCGCGAGGTTCGCCGATGAGTCAGTACTTCGTAACGCGTTCGCGGAAAAATCTCACGCGTAGAGAGCTTTGTCGGCATAGACAAACGAAATGACCATGAATTTATGGTGACTCACTATGACTGGCGTGAAAATCATTATACGGTTAGAAGAGATCATCATTTGTAACATCCGTACAATCCGCGAAACCAGACACAATTTGCCTTCACTCATCTTTACTTCATAGTCTGTTAACAGTCTCAGATGAAAGAAAAGTTGATTATTGAAACTCGAGATAAAAAGAAGTTGCGATAAAAAGTAAAGTGTAATCTCTGTAATAAATTGTACTCTCCATCTTAAATCACGAGAACTGTTTTTATAATTCTCGTAAAAGTGATTTTAATATCTGACGTGTGATCGATACGAAACATTACAAGATAATTAAAAACTCATTCCACTTAATTCCGCAATTTCTTTATTGATGAAATCAGGAAATGAGAAAATATTAAATGTCCCGCCAGTTCTATTGCTCTGCAGATCTAAGCAATTGCAATGTTATTGAGCATCGTCGAATCATTTCACTGACAGGATAATTGCATTCTCGATATAAATTTCATCCCGTGAAAACAGCGGAGCTTTCACTCCAATCATGCATCGCGAGATTTTTACTTATTGTCAGAAAGAAATACGGGATTCATAAATGTAACATTACTTTTTTACTCGAAACGCAGTACAATAAAAAATGCTATTTCCTTTTATATCGCATATCCTGATCGAGATACATCGCGCAAACTTTGCATAATTCGCACAAATTCGCGAGTACTTGAAGCTGAATGTTCGACGATACTCACCCTTAATTCTTCAATTTATTATTAATCTCTTTTCGTTGCACACTACTCTGGGGGAAAAAAGACAGTTAGCAACCCATCTTGGGGCCCACAATTCGAATTATTTAGATTGTTCGTAACTCTACTCCGGAAAAAATTTCGACCGTTTCTTTTAGTAGTTAAGCAACTTAATAAAAGAATTGATTAGAATTACTTAAAAATCTTGGACATACAATAGATAGAATAGAATTGCGATTTTTAGTTACACGAGGTAAAATTCGTAAAACATTAGAGTTACGAACAATCCAAATAATTCTATTACTAATTGTGGGCCCCTAAATGGGTTGCTAACTGTCTTTTTTTCCCCCCAGAGTATTTGACGCTATTACGAAGAATTAGTTTGACAATCCTCTTGCACTTATGGCAATCCTTGAGACTAATTTTCCGTTAGAATTGGACTCTATTGTTGTCTGTCGTAATAATGGCGACAACGTAAGAAAGCGAAACGAGTAGGATTACCTAACATTCGATGGAGAACAAAGAGTTAATCGACGAGACTGTTTGGGCGAGTCATTATCGAAAAGAAATATTTCCGGACGAAGGGCGTGTCGTTCTTCTAGTCACGTCCATCGACATCCACCTCCTACGCGACGAAGAAATGCATGCAGGTAAAAACTCTTAAGGCATATTGGGTAAACGCCGATTGACTATCAACCAGAAGAATTCCAGGCATCCCGTCTATCGTATCCTTCTAATAGCGTCTCTCCTCTTCTAGTGCTCATAAATGTCCTTCAAAAATTGTTGTTGCGATAACTTTTGGAAAATACCTAATGGAGGGACGTTTAATGGACCCTATTTTTCAAAGGCTCGGTTTTTCATTTTCTGGTTAACGTTTAGCCAAAGAAATTTGAGAGCGACAAAGTGTCCAGAAGGGATTAAATTCCTCGGTGGATTTAATCAATAGCATCGAATTTAATGACGGTTAATCAGTAATTCCTGAAATTACAAGGTTTTTTTTACAGGGTCCGGATGAAACGGATTATTGAAAGAGTAATTTTTTCTATAATTTCACATCGCCGATTGGGATGGAACAATGTTTTCATTCGCGAGTGAAGATTGCAAATTGCCGTGCCGACGGCGGACGAAAGGCTCAGATTGTCTCGCAGACGTTGCAAGATTAGACGAAGGCGACGACGGGTATTCATCCGCCGCAGGAAGGAGTCGCGGCAGGATCTATTTCCATCCCGGACTCTGGCGAAAATAGTCGCCTGAGTGCCACGTTGAGAAACGTAGGCGTGTTTGACGCCTGTTTTCGGTCGATAGTGTAGTCGTTCAGTCTGAATCAAGATGAGCGAGAAATAGCCGTAGGGTACCGGTGATACTACGTTTATCGCCCACGTCTTTCGATCAGATGACGTCAATCTCCCGATTCGTTGCCCTTATCGTCCTTTTCCCCGCAATTTCTCCCTTCTCTTTTTTTTAAATACTAAAGTGGAAGATGAGCTTACGTCATAAATCACGAACGTAACGAGCGTTCGTGACGTACACCTTTTACAGAGCAATCTTTCGGATGCGAATCAAATGATGAAACACTCATCAGTGGTTTGGCGCGAAATGCCCGGGCATCGACTACGTCGAAAGCTATCGGCTAATTCGGGATCAAGCGAGCCGGGAAATTCTGGAAATCAGTTTTGCGACGTTCGCGTTCCCACGAAACGCTGCATTACGGCGCAATTTCACCCGTGATAAAATATTTATTAAACCGACAAGCGCGATCGCCGTTGACGAGATACGGCGGGTTTTACTAATTTCGATTATCGTAATGTAGATACGACTGATTGTTCGCAATGCAGTCTCTTCCGCCGCTCATTACAGACGTTCGCGATAAACGCGTGAATCATCGATTCTCCTCTGACTTAATCTTGAAATTGCGGCTCGAATATTAATAGCGCCGCTACCATTTATGGCGTGCGCTATTGAATACGACGAAACTGAAAGTTCATCGACGGGGAATTTGTAAGCGGCATTGAGATCTAATCGTTGCGAATGAATTAATTCAATTATTGTCGAAGAGTGAGTTGATCTTTACGTGCGTTGTCGCAATTTGGGTTTTAGGCGAGCTGTACGTGGAAGATTTGGCCGAAAGAAGAATGGTTTCCATCAGGATGGGCAATCTGTGGGTCGAAGGTACTCCGAAGAGCTTACCATTACGAACGTTGAACCTTCGTCAAGCATTGTCCAACCTCTGTCAACCACATCCGCTCGCTCTGGGTTTTACCTTGAGCGACCCAGAGGATCGCTCGCTCGCCACCTTTTGGGTAATTATTGTCGCCGAAATTCAAACTCTCTCGCCATTTTCTCCTACCCTTTTATAGATAAGCAAACGTCAATCTGCCGATCTCCCCGCGACTTGCACAATTTTGTAAGAGAAACGTGATCGATCGGAAAGGAATTCCCCGATTGGTCTTGATCACTGACCAGCGCAACGACGTATTTCGAGGACTAGAGAGGCTTTCGTGAAAGACGAAAGCATTCGCGATTTGGCATAGTTCCACAAGACAGAACCGGCGGTTCTCGGGCGGCGTTCCTCGGTTGCCGGTCGGCGGCAACTGTGAGACACGGGAGAAGCGTGGACGAAGACAAGACGGGAGAGGCCGAGGGAGGAATAATATGCCGCACCACGCAATGTAATTGCATGTAAATGGCCTTTATCTCCGGCACGATCCGTTTCCTCAGCCGTAAACACTTTCACGTGCGCCGGGCGAGCCACGCTGGCTCCCGTTTCGCTGCAACTTCTAATTACGGGCCCGCCAGCGTCGCCATTCGATTTCTAACGCGTTATACAATCCCTGTAAGCGAACGAGCGAGCGTGTTTTCTCAGCCCGTGCGAATCTATCGCGAGCCAGGCTCCGATCTCTAGAAAATCACCCAAAATTCAAATCCGCGTGCAGATTTCTCCTCACTTTGCATAGAAGCCGTCGTCGCTCTTCGGCCGCTTTCAGATCGCACGAAGAGTCCTCGAAACTCGTAAAACGAGTTTCGCCCTGGCGTAGCATCGGATTTTCACCTTGCTTTTTTTTTCTCTCTACTCGCGGAATAATCCAATTAGAGCTCACTTAGCGCACGGCGATCTCCCTAAGCCGATGAGACGCGCGCTCGCTCGACCGACCTTGACGAAAACGCATCGGCACGCGAATGTAAGATAAAGCATGCTCGAAACGCCAACTTGAACAACGTGGAATATACGAGGTATCCTTGCCAAGGCCGCGGATGTCCAGGTAGCGGAGGAGGAACGACGGCTCGTGATGTAACACACTCGCCCGTCCGTCGAATCGCGAGATCTTAATAAGGCCAGTAGGCAAGGTCAACACCCGCTTACCGATCCGCTTGCCGTGATAAATGCGTGGGAGATTGTTGCACCGCTCTCCCATGACCCGCCATTGTCAAGGAATCCCACCACGTCGCGCGCGCTCTCGTAGCCGAGGAGAGTCCCCTCGCCTTCTTGGGCTCGTTCCAAGGACGCGGTGGCCAATCAATCAGACGAATCCTTCGACATTGCAGTGGGATGTTCCGCGTTTTCACGCCGAGTCGACTTAACGATGCTAATCGAAGCAATTGCGCCAACTACGCGAACCCCATTGATGATCGCGAGCTGCGATTAGCATCGCGGATCGATCAACACCGTCGCCTAGGAATACTGGTATATTGCTCTCCGAGCTCTCGTGCCATTTTACCGCGACATTTCTCTTGTCGCTCGTTCATAGCTCGACGCTGCGTCATGGTTTTCGATCGAAAGCGGGTTTTCTCGAGATAGACAACGAACGGGCAAACCTGTCGGCGAGCTTTTTTCCAGACGGGCCTGATATCGGCCAGTGTCGTCGAACGCGTGTGCGCGCCGCTCGGCGCGGCGCACGAAGGTCGCCTTGCCACAGGCCAGGCGACAGAGAGATTTGTTTCCATCGAGGATGGTAATGATCGACACGCCGCCGGTGGTTAACGAGCAAATTCCACGTTGCCGGAGTCCGGCGTTCGCGCACTCGAGCGAGAACCGGCAACTTTCGAATCACCAGCCAGCGAAATCGTGTGTCACGGTCGATCCTGCGGGTAGACAGACCCGTTCGACTACTCCGTGCAGCATCCAGATGCTTACCGTACGAGAGAATATCAAATCCGAATACGCGTAACCGTCAGCAATCTTGCATTCTCGCCACTATGTTGAACCATCTATTTCTGCAAAAATTCCGATATCGCGATTATCGATCGGATTTCATTCCACTTAATCGTCTTGACTGCTATCAACTTTAATCGCCACGTAAAGTCTTGTACATTAATGCCTGGACCTCACAGTTTTACTAGGATTCACATTACAGCCTGAAACTCGGTGATTTGCATAGATGAGAAAAATGATGAGAAAAATGCAGGTCCAGGCATCAAATAGCTCTCTGGGAAGTCAGGCTTTTCTTATAAAAGTCATATACTTTTTATGCATCGTGACGGTATGCCCATGTGATGAACAATGTGAAATTCGCAATACTAGATAGTTGATTGAATAAAAATAAGAGCATTTACGCTAAAAGTGAAGGTATTTTTCGACTGCACACTTTCTGCATATTTAGAAAGTTAGTTTTCTTTTTTATTTTCAATGCTCCAGAAATATATCTCATAAATTTCTTCTACAAACGGTGTAATGTAGCATGTCAATCTTTTTATCTGTTCAGGCGGACACGGAACCGATTTATTGGTCTTGGGTCAGAGCGATCGCGGCTGAACTAGTCCGGCAAACGCCGTTTCGCTCTCTACGACGCTTGAACTTCCTGGAGATATTGACCAGTTGTCCGAGAGGCCCGGTTCCGTTGCCAGATAGCCCGACGGAAACGAGGAGGCGATCTCGCAGCGAATTACGTTGCTGGCCGAGTGACTCGCCGACGGAAAAGACGGCAATGTGCACGACAACGATCCTCGATGACTCTAGGAGAAGGGCAAGGAGCGAGCTGCGCGGTTGGTCCAGCAGCAACTCGAGCGACGAGGACCTCTTGGGAGAATTTCGAAGCGTACCCACTGTGATAAGCAACAAGGACCAACCGGTCAGCAGAGCGTGGGGTTGTAGCGAAAGCAGCGAGGGTAGCGACGATAGTCTCCCTTGGGGTGGCGTATGCCGGTCGAGCGTCGACACAGTGGACTCCCGCAGCGTGCCCTTACCGGAACCGGAAACGAGAGAACAGAGGATACAGAGGTACAAAGAGACGCGCAGACGCGAAAATGAAGCGAGAAGTCGACGAGTTCTCGAAGAGGACGCGAGGCGAAAAGCGAAAGCCGAGGAGAATAACAACAACTTGCCCAAGATCTATGGTAGAGCCAGGAGCAGAATCTGTTCCGTCAACGACAACGACGACGTTCATCCAACCCGCTCGCCTAAAAAGGAACCCCTTACTTCAATCGACATGCGAAAGCAAAACGACAATTCAATCGTCGATCGACTTCCTCCGCTCAAGCCACACGAGTCTTCCACAGTAAGATTTACCGAGGAAAATCATCGGAACGAGGACGACAAACGGAATAATAATAATAGTCCAAGAAGTGGAAACAACAGTCCCGCGATGTTCAGGTCGGATATTAGCGAGAGGAGAAGTAGAGCCAGAGAAAGGAGGATATCTCGTGACAAGGGGCAGCAATTGCAGACCCAGCAATTGACCGGTATCACCATCGCCAACGTGGAAACTCTTCAAGAGCGGAAGGAGCGTTTGGCTCTTCTGTCTTCCAGAATCCCCGTTCCACGCCAATTGCCGCAGCCTTGTCTAAGATCCTCAGATTATCTGGCAATAGTGTCTCCGAACTCTCCGCCGGCGGTACCGGTGACGGCGTCGCCTTGCGAAGAGGATGTCGCTAAACTTCTGGAACGATGTCAAAGGGTGGACCACTACGTGCCGGTGCGGGAGAAGCTGACTTTATTCGAATCCCTTTCGAGATTAGGCGGTCGCCTGGCTCGGAGCACGGAAGATCTTGGAAGGACGTCTGCTAAACCCAGTCCCAGGGGTAAACAACGCGCCAGATCTCTTCACGATCTCAACCGAGGCGCCAGAGCTCTACCCGTGAGAGAGATGTGCCGATTTTTCGAGGGCGATTTGCAGGAAGCCTGCCAAAAAACGACGAATCTTGCGAAAACCAGATTCAGCGATCCGCCCGCGAAGAACACGTGGAGAGACCCGACTTCGAAACACGAGGCACCATGTATCAGCGCTTCCGCGAGAAAGAGACATTATCTCAAGTGAGCGCACCTGGTGCGTTCTTTCGGAACGTTTAAGAACTTATGAATAAAAATATCCTCGAGTTCACGATTGTCTCAAACAGCGAACACAAAGTCACGGGATAATTACTCGATTATCATTATTCTTATATCTTCTTCTCATCAATTTTCATATATCATGCAGGTTTCCGCAACTAGTATAAAGATGAAAAATAGTTTTGCAGTCGAACAAATTACGATAGCTTTTTCCCAAAACCCCACAAATCTATTATCACCATTATCTGACTGAATTTCACTTCTGTCGTGTGACTGATTAATCGCCCAATATTCACGAAAATCCCTCTGCCATGATGATTACAGTTTCTCGATGACTTTGAATTTCCAATATGTGAAGTCGATTTAACCGCGCTTATCAGACACTTATCGCCAGATTAGAATCAACTCTGTTGATTGTGTCGCGGGCGACGATTGTCACACTTGCGTCGGGAGAAAGTCGCCGCGCGCGCGCGTGCGGACTTCTTTTTACGCTCGAGGCCTCCAAGTGTGCTCGATTCCCTCGATTGCTGGTTGTCGCGATCAGCCATCAAAGTAAAGGAAAAAAAAGATGTCGAGATACTCAGTTATGTACGCGTCTTACGAAAGTGAGAACAGGGGATATACCGGTGAATCCGATCGTCATAGAAATTTCTCACCTTAGAATTAATTTTCACCTTTATTCGTTACACGAATATCGTTTCGAATCGTAGACAATCCGCATTTATTTGTGTGTAAAAATATAGAATCGGCATATAACGCCTCGATTGTGCGTATAAGCGAGATGAAGCGTGGCCGATCGTGACACGAGAGGAGAATGACGGAAAAAGAAAGAGAGACAGAGAAATAGAGAAAGAGAGCGGAAGGTAGAGGGGGAGTCGGAGAAACCGGTAATTTACGTTCACCGAGCGATTGCCGCAACGTTGAACACCTGTATGTATACAAACTATACGTACAGCGAGCCGATCGCCGAGCTCATTTTTCGATTAGCCTGAATTCGATCGTCCGGACTTTAATCATGGCTCGTTCGTTAAGTATCCAAAGAAATGAATGGTGAGTATCGTGACTGCTTATGGCGTTTCTCCAATTACACTAATTACATGTGAAATTTGTATATAATTGATTATTATTTTATTCTGTACCTGAAATTGTTGGTTCTATGTCTTCTTCTTCTTAGGCTATAGTTTAACTTTTGTTATATACATGCCTTTGTTGCGACTGTAAATAAATGTATAATTACCGATTTGTATGGTTTATGTGTATATATTTATGTACAATAGTCTTGGTTGAGTGTGCTGATATGTAATATTTGCCATTAGGGCGGCGATCGCTCCTCTCAAATATCCGTCGAGAACCAGAATACGAATTAGAGTCGACTTCCGCTTATTTCAAATCAAAACGATAATATCCGCTCGTGTAATACTTCCTTCACTCTCCCGTTCCTTTTCATAGTTGATAATACACAACGTGGGAAATATATTCTAATTTCGTATAAAATGAGCAATCGAATGTCTGATTATTACTTGGAGAGAAGATATAAGATATAAAATGGAAGAAAATTGTTTGACAGAAAAGTCTTCTTAAACGAAAGCTCTGTTAGATATTTGTCCCATATTTAATAATGAAGAAATTACAATACTCCCCGATTTGTTGAAAGATAATTGTTTTTTAAATAATTATATTATATGTAGGCCCCTCGAAATTGATTATTTCGAAAAGAAAATTTTGTACAGTTAATTAAACTCCCATCGAGACGTTTTGCGCTCGAATAGGGTTGCCACTTATTTTTGTATCTCGTTTGTTGTATAGTGTACGAACTGCGATTTCCTTGCGTTATATAGTATATGAGTAACGATATAAGAAGGATAATATACAGTAAGAATATTACACAAAATAACCAATTCGAGAGAGAACGATCGAGAGATAATAATATTTCTTCATTAATTATTCATATAGATCGCATATAGATTGTTCTTACTGAAAGTGTTCTGGAATTCTGATGAGATCGTAAATTTGAATTTAATTGTTATTCTAAACTTGTTGACTTTTTCTTAAATATCGATCAGAAAAGAATATCGTGACAATTCATAGTAAATTCAATTACGTTGTTATTATTATACATATTAACTTACATTAATATTAATATTGTTGCATATTATCACATGTAACATGTTAAACGTTAAATTGCGTCACATATTATCAAATGTAACATTAAAAATAGAATTCGGTCAAGTAATATATCAAAACAATTTTTCATACCCGAAGGAATTCCAGGATACTATCAGGATCCGATCGCGAAGTTGCTTGCAGTCGACGACCGTCTACAGGGTGTTCCAAATGACTCCGTTGTTACATATATTTTGTAGTAGATTCGGTCGAACGGTGTCATTGATCAGTGCCACCCGGTACGAAGGGTTGGTCGCCAAAGAGGTCTTCTAGTCCTTCGTCGGATAATTCCGAAAGGTTATCCCCCATATGTAACTACTCCTCGATATATTCTGATTTTTATTATCCTACAAATATTTGTCAAACGCGGTACGAATTGCGTACCGCCCGCGCAATATGCGGCGAAAGTTGCGCGTCTTTGTATTTACCTTTGTTGTAATAAAAAGGGACGAATAATGGCCGTTACATAAAAGTGATTGTTGTTAGAAAGCTAGCGGAGCCTTAGTGACCGACGCGTCGGCATTCCTAGTCTGTTTCTTTTCCTACGGTTATTTACGCTCGTGTCTTTTTCATCCAAGCGCCCACGCAAATCATTGTTTCCCTTCTCTCCTTTCTCTCTAGCGGTGCATTTCGATGCGATGCTGATTTTTACGAAATAAAGAGAATAGATTGCGCTTTTCGGATAAACGTCGAGCACGGTTTCTAAGATGCAATTATTTAAATTATTTCTCTGGCGCTTTCAGCAACGAGTGAACGTTATGATTGACGTTTCAATTTCCATTAGCAATGCGTTTCATAATTGTTCCTAGTCGCTTTCCTTTCCGTGCGTAGCCTGACTGCCTTTATTCGTGAAAATTTGCTAATTATCCAGTTTTCGCAAGATCAAACAGGTAGAGATTGCGCACGATACCATTCTCATATATGAGAGCAGTGCCATGCTCGCAGTGTTTTTCAGATGAAACGTCGGAAATTCATGAGTCGCGATTGTTACACGAACTCCCGGGAAAGTACCCGGGACTGAATCTACATTTTGCCAGGAAACGAAAACTTGCCAATGGAACAAGAAAACACAGCGTATGGTTTTATATAGATATATCCTTCTACTAAGCACCGTTCGAGTGTCCCTTATTGAAACGGCAGTAACAATTTCTGATTTCGGTGCCCGTGAAACGGAAATTTCTTCCAAAGTTTGTGCGACTGAAGTGTATATTTAAGATTCACGTTTACATAACCATCGGTACACTTTACTTGAATGTTTATTCATTCAGTTATTCACGTACGAACTCGCCCGCGCGTTTATATCACCGCCCACTAACTGTATGTGCGCGCATATAATTTTCGTTCCGCATGTTCGCGTAAAAGTGGTAGCTATCAATTTACGAGGAAAGCCGACGGAGATGCGGTGATCCACTTGCAATTTTTACTGAATCAGAACCCGTCACGGGATCGCGTAGTAGCTCTGTGGAACAACGATTACGCCTTTCGCAAACGCGCGATGTCTCTGTACAGTTTCCAAAATAAAAGTTAAGGATTCTGTTCTCCTTTTTCTTCCGACCAATCGATTTCCAATCCCGAAACGAAAGATATCGGATATATCTTTCGATATCGCTGTACTTCAAAGAAGAGACATCGCACACTTTCACCGAAGTTATTTTTAAATTGAGATATACGCGAACTCTTTTTTTCCTTGGGTATAAATGTTTCTCATCAAAATTCATTGATACTGTGGTGCCGATTATATTAGGTAAACCTGTTTGAAAGATGAATTTCAAGTTTTTAGCGTCCTATGATGGCGGAAGAGAAATGTAGAGATACATGCTTTAAATCTTTCTCGCTTCATTATCTGTGACCGAGAAAAAGTTCGCAGTTTTTAATAAGCCTATACATGATAGAAATTAACAAACCAGGAAGACAACGATAATCCTCGATATTATCAGGGCAAAAAATAGCCACTTGTCCGAAGTGAGATCCGCGTAACACTATTTGCTTAATGTAACGTATTTATTATACTAGAAACGATAAAACGCGCGCTTCACGCGCGCAGTTTGTGGTCAAGCATTGTATTTTTTTTAAGAATTTGTATACACGCGAAGAAGTAATTGTATACGCAACGTCAATTTAAAATAAAAAGTAATTTGTTACTCACTGATACGCTTCGCAACAGCAAAGTTGTACATCGCTAACTATACATGTTAAACTGTAATAATACAAAAATATATATGATTATTATAGACTAATGATGTAAAATCCAGACTATTATATTAAATATATTTTATATTTAATATTTTTGAAAATGGGTATTTATTAAAATAATTATATAGAATACTGAAAGTCTTCCTTTTAAATATGAACTCACAAAATTTTATACGTATGGTTTTGTCTCTAACACTTATTCGAATGCTCGTTGGAATCATTTGAATAAATAAAATAAAAGCACAGAACAGATGATTCACTTTGCACAAGTAGCAAATAACAAAAATGTAAGACACTTACCTTACGATTTCTCTGCCGTTGCCCGATGCCGCCTAAGCCTGCTCCTCTTCTCCGATTTTCTTGTTGCACTTACACTCACTCGCGAAAATCGATCGCGCGAAATTTTGGACACTCCCGTGCGCAATGTAAAATACCGTGAAATGCAGTAAGCGACGTTCTTTACTTCCTGCCCGTTCGAGTTGCGAAGAATGACAGAGCGAATTACAGCGCGAACGCCGAAGTCGCACAAATATCTCTCTCTTCCCGAAAATGGAACAGATTACACGAAATCCATTGATAGTTAAAAGCGCGGTGCGTAAACGAGATGTAACCGCGACAACGTACCACGGTTTAATTTCATATTTCAGATGAGTTAGTCTCGTAAAATATCCATATACACGTTAATAAAGAGCCGTCGCCTCAACGCGCAATTCGTTTCTCATTACAAGTTGTAGAAACTTAATAATTAATCTAGTAGCGTTACTTGTCACTGATAAAGGAGTCCAAATCAATAGCGTTTTATCCTTACATTCTTCACGATCGAGTCTTGGAAACCGACAACGCAAAAATAATACCACGCACGGAGCGACTCGCGACACTGCTTGCCGGCTCGACGTTCGGCGAGCGAATGATAGTGTGGCGACCTTCAGGTACACGATGGCATGCAAAAACGTCGTACGTCACCGCGCCGAGTGAAAAACAACAAAAAAACGTTGAGAATTCGTTGGCCCATCTACATAATGGAAAATTCTGTACTTATCATTCGCTCGCCGAACGTCGAGCCGGCAGGCAGCAGCGAGAGTTGTTCCGTGCGTGATATTATTTTTATGTTACCGGTTTCCAAGACTCGATCGCGAAGAATGTAGGGATAACACGCTATTGATTTGTACACCTTTATCAGTGACAAGTAACGTTACTCGATTAATTATTAAGATTCTAAAACTTGTAATGAGAAACGAATTGCATATTGAAGCGACGGCTCTCTTTATCAACGTGTATATAGATATTTCACGAGACCAACTCATCTAAAACATGAATGTAAACTGTGGTACTTTGTCGCGGTTACATTTCGTTTATGCACCGTGCTTTTAATTATCTATCGATTTCGTGTAATCTGTTCCATTTTTGGGAAGAGAGAGATATTTGTGCGACTTCGGCGTTCGCGCTGTAATTCGCTCTGTCGTTCTTCGCAACTAGAATGGGCAGGAAGTAAAGAACGTCGCTTACTGCATTTCACGATATTTTACATCGCGTACGGGAGTGTCCGAAATTTCGCGCGATCGATTTTCGCGAGTGAGTGTGTGAGTGTAAGTGCAACAAGAAAATCTGAGAGGAGGAGCAGGCTTACGCGGCATCGGGCAACGGCAGAGAAATCGTAAGGTAAGTGTCTTACATTTTTGTTATTTGCTACTTGTGCAAAATGAATCATCTGTTCTGTGCTTTTATTTTATTTATTCAAATGATTCCAACGAGCATTCGAATAAGTGTTAGAAACAAAACCATACGTATAAAATTTTGTGAGTACATATTTAAAAGGAAGACTTTCAGTATTCTATATATAATTGTTTTAATAAATACCCATTTTTTTAAATATCAAATATAAAATATATTTAATACAATAGTTTCGATTTTGCATAATTAGTCTATAATAATCGTATACATTTTTGTATTGTTACAGTTTAACATATACATATAGTTAGCGATGTACAACTTTGCTGTTGCGACTTGTATCAGTGAGTGACATATTACTTTTTATTTTAAAGTGACGTTGCGCATATAATTACTTC